TAATGCAGAGTAATACTCCATTGTGTATAAATGCCACATTTTTTTTTTATCCATTCATCCATTGAAGGGCATCTAGGTTGGTTCCACAGTCTAGCTATTGTGAATTGTGCTGCTATGAACATCGATGTAGCAGTGTCTCAGGGATGCTTTTTTGAGACAGGGTCTGGCCAGGTGTCTTAGGGCCTTACCAAGTTGCTGGCGCTGATCTAGAAGTTGTGAAACTCCTGCCTCAGCTTCCTGGATTGCTGAGAGTATAGGTGTGTGCCCTCATGCCTGGCAATAAGAATTAACATCTGGAATCAGATGTCATGATTTTACAGTGATTTATAATCCTGGTTTAGGAAAATAAGTCCTCCCTTGTCATAAATTGTGCAGTTGTATTCTCAGAAGGACTGATAGGAAAAATTTTCAAGTTTAGTATTTTACAGGTTATACAAATCATAAAACCTGCTATAGCATGTACTATTATATATTATTTGTTTTATTTTACTGACAGTGATTATGTTGATAGTGGTTTGAAGTAGATTTGCTTTGATCCTGCTGAGTTTGGGGGTACAGGGTGTATTGTCAATTATTTACTGAATAGTCTGAAGACAATAATAGAAACTGACCCTAGAGTTGGTTGCTGATAACATTCTTTTAAACAAGAGATTAATTAAAGAGTTAAGTTTAAAGACTCTTAGGATCTGAAAGTATTGGCCTGCTTTAATAATGTGGAAACATACTTGTAACCAATAGTAGACATTGGTGATGTGGCAAAATTCACATACATTTATTTTCAAAGCTGTCCTGGGTTTAAAAATAACTATCTCTAAATTGGCTGGTGTAATTGTAATTCTTCCATCAGAGTTGAGAGTTAATTAAATTATCAGTTGATAATAGATGGGGTGGGTGTTGGTTGATTTTATAGTCTTAGTGGAAATTTAAAGTTTTTGAAACATATAAAAGCCTGAAACATTTTCTGATTTTTAGGAAGAACTTTAACTTTGCAGTCCCAAATCTAAAAACCTTGTGGTCAGGTGTTTCTAGTTAGTTCCCCTGGGGCAGTACACCTAATTTTTTAGTTTAAATTTTCAAACACGTAAAACTAGTGAAGATGGTAAAATGAAACCCAAGTAGCCATTATTCAGCTTTAGAAATTATCATTTGACTGATTTTTTTAATCTTTCCTTCCATTTCCTTATTCATTTTTTGAATATTTTAAAGGAAATCATAGATACCATGTCATTTCATTAAAAATGTTTCAGTATGGGTCTTTGTTAAGGACTTTCAGGTTTTATGTAATCACCGTGCAATTATTATACCAGATAGAATAGACATACATTTTTTAATGCCATCTGAAACCTAGTTAATTTTAGATTTCCTTGATTATCTAAAAAATAATATTTTGAAATTATTTTTATGTATTAGCTGGAATTCTTTGATGAAAACATTTCTTTTCAACAACTTGGTTATTCTGAAATGCAGTTTGTACTGAAAAAGCAAGTTAAATATTTGATTCTTTATTTCTTAATTTTTAAATTAATGGATTGATAATACAACAGTCTCCAGTAGTGACCAATTAAATTCATGAATTTTGTATGATTGATGTATTTAAATCAGTTGCAGTGAATATTTATTTGGAGATCCAGATTGCTGCCAGTGGGTGCCCCTTCATGTTTGTGGTATCTTTTTGATATCACCTTTTCAATCTTTTATGGCTTCTTTAATTTTTTTGGTAAAAAATGTTTTCTAGACCTGGAGTAAATTATTTCTCCAAGGAACTTGGTTGCTTTTAGTGGAAAAGTAGTATTTTTTATCTTAAAAATTTATCAGCCTATTGAGATAGAATGAAAGTTGTATATATTGAGACCAGACTTTATTTAAGAAGATATCACCACCAGCTCTTTACTAGTCACATCTCCCTAATTGATATTTCTGTATCCAACATTTACATTTATATAGCTGTACCTCATTGTTATAGTTTTTGGTTGAAGAATTTTTCTTTCCTTAATTTGATTTTAAGTGGCATATAAATTTATTTCATTTGATTAGCTTACCTAGAAGATAAAGTCAAATTTGATTAAGAAGTTTCCTTGAAGTTGTTAATAGTGAGCTAGTCTTTAGTTTTAAACTATGTCTTATTTGCCACTAGATGGACCCATTCTCATAATGAAATGAAAACTGAAAATTTTTTTTAACATGAAAGATCTATTTAAGGGCTGAGGTTGTAGTTCAGTGGTAGAGTGCTCACCTCGCATGTGGAGGGCCCTGGGTTTGATCCTCAGCACCATATAAAAATAAAAGGTATTATGTCCATCTACAACTAAAAAATATTTTTTAAAAAATGTATTTAAGTTTGTAGTATACTTAGTTCATGGAATTTTTTTTATAT